ATCTCGAATCTTTATCCAAATGTTGAATAGAGGGCGGATTAGATGATTGGTCTGAAGATAAGACGACTGATTTGTCCGATTATCTGATAAGCAGATAAAACGGCTGAAAAGGTCTAGACAGCTGATTGATGTTTTTGAACATTTTTGCTAAACTCGTTTCCGCCATTCTTAACTTTTTAATTATTAATCAATCGTTCAATTTTTGTTTAAATTCTGAAAACGTATCCATCCCCAAAGTAGGAGTTTTGAACGTAGAATTTGTGCTCAAACTCAGGATTTACAGATCGTTAAAAAGTTTAATATGTCTCAAATGAATCAGAAAGAAGTTTACCCCAACACTGCATGTAATATATTCTTTATCAATGTGTAATGTTATCTATGTTATCCATGCTAGTAATATATATCTTAATTATCTGTATCTGTATGTTGATCCTGCCGGGCTAGCCCGGTCAGTTTCGTTCACCTGTATATAAAATAAATTAGTTCAATACGATTTGTCGTTTAATACGGACGTATACATAGCCTTGAGTTTTGGCTAAGGATAGAGAGCCTTGAGTTTGGCTAGAGATAGAGTCAGTTAGATTCTAATTAGACTTTGAGTAGAGTTATCGTTACGTTATCTCGGATCTAGAGTGCTTACATGCATACTCAGTTCAACTACCTTACATAGCCGGTCACTCCCTTTAACAGTGTTATGCAGTCTTAACCTACAGACATTTTTTTGAAAAGGAATTGAGTCTTTGTTACAAACTCCGATTTTCTAATCCATATAAACTTATATATTTCAAACTTTACATTCTGTTAGATCAAATAATCTAAGTTTGAAATATCAAAGTTTTTCACCAAATATGAGTTTGTGGCAAAGACTCAACTTTTTGAATCCATCTTATCCGCATCCTGGATCCGTCTGGTAGAATATGGATCCGGATTTAAATGATTCTAGATTCTAGATTCAGATTGTTAAGAATAGTTCCAAGAAAGTTCCAGGATAGTCTTGAATAGTTAGAATTGTTCCGAGATTATTACTAGGATGGTCCGCATATGGTTAGGATGTTCCGAAAACAGTTAGGATAGTTCCAGGATTTTCCGGGAAGGTTGGGGTGTTTAGGATGGTTAGGATGGATTCATAATGTCTAGGAAAGTTCCAGGATGGTTCGGATGGTTCCAGGATTATATGGATGATGTAGGGATGGTAAGGATGGTTCCATGATGTTTTGGATGGTTCTAGGATGGTTACGACAGTTCAAGGATGGTTAGAATGGTTCCAGGATAGTTTTAGGATAGTTAGGATGGTTCCATTTTTAAAAGAATGGTTCCAGTATAGATAGGATTGTTCCAGGATAGTACTAGTATGGTTCCAGGATAGTACTAGTATGGTTCCAGGATGGGAAGAATGGTTCCAGGATGGGAAGGATGGTTCTAGGATAATTCTAGGATGGTTCCAAGATGGGAAGGATTGTTCCAGTATAGTTAGGATGGTTCCAGGATGGTAAGAAAGGTTCCAGGGTAGTTCCAGGATGGCTAGGGTGATTCCAAAACGATAACGATGGTTCCAGGATAGTTCTAGGAGGGTTCTATGATGGGAAGGATGATTCCAGTATAGTTAGGATGGTTCCAGGAGGTTTAGGATTGTTCCAGGATTGTTAGGATAGTTCTAGGATGGTTGGGATGGTTCCAGGATAGTTAGGATGGATCCAGAATGGTTATTTTGATTACAGGAGAGTCAGGATGGTTCCAGTTTAGTTAGGATGGTTCTAGAATAGTTCTAGGATGGTTAGAATGAATATGATTATTGGGATGAATCCAGGATGGTTCCACGATGGTAAAAATGGTTCCAGGATGGTTCTAGGATGGTTACAGGATGGTTCCAGGATAATTTCAGGGTGGTTAGGACGGTTCCAGGATGGTTCCTATTTGGCAAAGATAAACTACCCAAAGATCCTAGACTGTATAAAGGACTTGACGGACTGGTCACGATTCCGGATTTGCACATGTTTTTGCATGCAGAAATTTCACCCAGGATTGAATAGATAATTCGAATAATGATTCAATTGGCTCGAGAACACGGGTTCGTATGTGCGTACATCACATTTTATAATAACATCGCAGTTCGTGGAGTCTTTCATCATATACAACCCATTCATATGAAACTAGGCTTGAAACTTTCATGCAGATATGTTTGGACTATATACAGTTAGTTAGTCCCAATGGCTTGGTTGACAGAAAATTAAGGGATGAAAGAATATAGAGCAGTGGGACAGATGAGAGAATAAAAAGTAGTGGGCCGGATGAGAGAATAAAGAGTAAAGGGACGGATGAGATAATAAAGAGCAGTGGGGCGGATGAGAGAATATAGAGCAGTGGGGCGGATGAGATAATATAGAGTAGTGGGACGGATGAGAGAATATAGAGCAGTGGGGCGGATGAGAGAATAAAGAGCAGTGGGGCGGATAAAATAATATAGAACAGTGGGACGGATGAGAGAATAAAGAGTAAAGGAACGGATGAGCGGATAATGATTTAGCATTGATTGACATTTCATGATTTTTGTAATCGTTCTAACTCCCGATATACAGTAATGGATGAACTATCTGACTCTAGATTCCTTTGAGCTTACTTATAAGGATTATAGATCGGAGACGGATTGAAAAATAACGATCTGTTTAAAGTGCATAATGCCTGGATCCAGAAAGTAGGAACCAGAAAGTTGTGGAATATGAAGACGACATTAAGACAATAATCAAATGTATTTGATGTCGTTACAAAGCAAGTAGTTTCACTATAGCAATTTATTTAATCGCGTATTTAGTAAAATGGGTTTGTCTAGGCTTCACAGTTGTTGTGTCTCATGTTTTTTGGACAATTGCCGTAAAATTGTCTCCCTATTCCAGAGTTTTCTGGTTCTCACTGTATAATCCATGATATGTGAGTTTAAATAATATGGAATGAAAATGTATTTGATTCATAGAATATTTAACACATTCCTTCATGGATTTTGGGTTTTACGCAAAAGTAGAAAAATCCTCGAAAGATACTGCGTCAGTAATTTAACAACTATATATAGAGACGTAACGTTAATATCATATTGACTTCAATTAAACATTTCTTGTCCGATTCACAAGATGAGCATCTTTGTTTAAGTGTAAAATGAGGAAGATATCAACTTTTTCCTATCTTAAAATTGAATAAATTCGGTCTATATTCTTTCTTGTTTATGCTTCATAACACCCCATGCGACATTAAAAAATTATCCATTTTCACAAAGAAAAATCTCTGTATAATGTTTGGTCCAACACAGGTTGGGTACCGTTGTAACATGTTAATGGATGTTTTCTTGAAATTACGTCGACAGTCTCTTTAATTCCTAATTTACTTCATGTACAGCTTGTTATCAAGCAAAGTGAATAAATACTAAAGTGGAACAGACTAAGGAAACGACGACAGGTTGAGCCATAAGGTTTTATTTGGTTTGGAAATAATTTCATGAAAAGATTTCGTTTGGAAAGTAAAGACTAGAAAAAATAGACTAAAGACCCATGTAAATGTCGTCTTCAGATAGAACTTCGAAATTTTCACGATTTAAAATCAAAATTTTTTGTACGTTTCTATGTAGTTTATATGTAAATACTATTTAGTCGCTTAATCAATTCATTGATTTTGCCTGGCNTGTCTGTTTGTTTGTTTGTTTGTTTGTATCCAATAAACGTCACAAAGACGATATCGAATTCGTCACTGAATTCCCATGTTTTTTGGGACACCCTGTATTTAATCACTTTGGTTATCAAGAACCTGTAAAGTTTTAGTTCTATTGAGTAAAAAGCTCCTCTACAAATATAATTCTTTTATTTTCTGTCAAAAAGACTTCAGTTTATTGAGAAATAAAGCCCAGGAGACGGGCCGGTAATCAGGGGAACAATTCTAATAATCTGTAGAGATTTGGACACAGTAATACAATTTACAAGGTTGGGAAGGTACTTCTTGGTCTCAAGTTTCTCGAAAGGGAGCGTGAACGTATTTCAGAAGATTCTATTAGGGTTAACTTTCTATAGTTGCTTTCACAGACGCTTGAATGACCGTTGTTACTTTTCATTTTTGAGCTACTGATTTATTTTTTGTAATGCTTTTAAAAAAATTGAAGTAAAAACTTATTGATCGAAACTTTCAAGGTTTCAATCCATCCAAAAAATACCCTAATCCATCGGACTACAAGAGATACGGATTAATTATTTCTGAATGAATTAACAATACAATAGTTCAAATCTCAAGCTTTATTAGCTTAGATTATATACAGTGGTAGGCGATTGTATCAATACCTTAAAAACGGCTTTCGATTTCAATTTTGAGTTGTAAAAAGCTGTTTAACAGCATGGATACACATATACAATATAGATAGAAGTCAAGAGAAGCTCTCAATTAAAAAGCTTCTCTTTGATTCTTGTAAACTTGTAAGGTAAGTCGAAAAAAGCTTGTTTACAATCAAAACTTAAGTAGAGAAGTCGTCTTCATTGTATTGATATGATAGTGGGACACTCTTTCATTTCCATCATAAAATAAACCCTTAATTTACTTTAACCTACTTCAGTCCTTAAACATTTTCGGCTTTTTAGCTAAATAAATCTTTCTTCTTGACTGTCAGTGGAAGATTGTGTGCCTAGTTATTTTGCGATAAATACAATGGTTTGCATAAATATTTGTAATATTTTCAGCAAACTTATTGGCAGCTCCAGGGTTCATCAACAATATTTAGGACATTTTCCAAATCCACTAATATTTAGCGGAAACTTTAAACATAATCTACCAATATTATGCGAAAACATTAAACGTACATGATTAAACTCAATTTAGAAGAATCTTAAATCATAACCCTTAAATATTCGATTGAAACTTTAAACGTAATCAGCGGAAACTTTAGTCATACTTTATAGGTGTATTTTTTATAGATTGCAAGATTTTTATATTTTTAGATTTTTAATTATTCTATCTGTAAAGTGTAGACAAACCTTAATAGCATCGTAGAGTTGTAGAAGAACTGGACTTGAAGCTGACAACTCTCTATCAGTGTACTGAACCTGTCTCCCGTGTACATCTCGTGCCCCGTACAATCCTTGAGATTCCAGCTGTCGTCTTCGTTCCTAAAACAAAATGACCGATATGATAACTTGTTTCTATGTGATTAAACCTGTCTGCTATTATGAATTTAGAACGATATGGTTTGTAATATGCTCAGCTTTCAAAGTATGAAATTCTACATCTCTCTAAATATATAGTACTTTCAATCCGTTTATAGCAAGTTTATAGCAAGTTAAGCCAAAATAATAGTGTGTTTATGGAAAATGAGTATACTCGTCTTATTGCAATGGCTATTTCTAGATAAGTACTTGTCTTATTGCATGGTTTTTAGATAACATAAGCTTTTCAAGAAAGCAGAAATAAAAATATAAAGTTACATTCAGCTTTATTTTCATTTACATTGAAGCAAATATTTTGGTAATATCCTAATTTTGTTAAAGAAAACCCGGGAACCAATCAAAACTTTACAGCACACGTGCGATGATGTACAGCTAATTAAACTTTATACCACGATGATTACTTTATAGCACGTTTATAATAAAAATTTACCATGAAGTAAGTAAGAATGACGAAGTACACAATAGTTTCATAATCACTATTTAAAATAAAAAATCTTAATTCAATTAATCATTCAATTGCAATGTTAATTAACTTTAAAAAAAACATCTTTCTTTGAGGTTTTTAAATTTTTACTTTTTTAACAACAAAATATAAATCAATTTTCTTTTATCTTTAGTTTTTTATATTTTCAACTGTACAAGAAAATTATAAAGCAATAACTAAGTTCCAACTTTTCTTTGCAGCAAAAATTTGACTTATTTATCAGCATTAAAGTTAGTGGTTTCTTCTAATGGACATAAATAAAACAGTAGTTAACTTTAAAAATAGAAGGTTTTGTACTTTAAAATTTTTTTCTTTGTTATTCTTATTTTCTAGGTTAAAGGGTGAGATCGCTTATTTTTCAAACGATGCGATGAATTCAGGATGACGATATTTTTTTCAATTGTGGTTTTTCATATTGAATTTCAGAATTGAACACTATTAAAGATAGAAAACTGCGAATCTTTAAATTGAAATAACGTGTTGAGTTCCTTGAGGATGTAGGAATAAAACTTGATCAATAAATCCGTAAGTATAAATTACATGTATGCATTATATTACTGCACTCAACTTAATACATTATATATACAATATATTTATATAAATCCGCTGTTCTGCAATACTTAATCAATCCGTAATAAATCCATTCTCAGACCATAAAACCCTTCTAGCACCTTAATCTATTTAATTTTACTCTGCCCCCCCCCCCCCCCCCCCCCCCCCCCGGCCCCAGGGTATTACAAGGTTTTAAAATTAATTAATACCCCGGCCTGATGGAGAGAAGAAAATAAGGCTAGGAAATCATAATACATCAAAATATACCCAGATACAGGGTTACACACAAAACATGAGGCTTCAGAAATGAATGTGCAAAATGTATTCCAATTTTAATATAACATTTGTGGTTCCTTGCACTCGAACTTGTTTCATTTCTTGCAAAATCATTTAGTAAATTATTTAGAGACTATATTCTAGATATATATATTCTAGATATATATATTCTAGATATATATATTCTAGATATATATATTCTAGAAACCAGATCGTTATCTGTAAAGAGTTCAAGTTCGCCCTTAAACTCTCATCCTTTGTGGGTAACCCTGTAAATCTAACCAAAGAATATACATACGAATATAAATACAAACATACAGATATGTTTCAGGGGGGAGATGGAAAAAATCTCCCTAAAAAATTATGTAATGTCATGTAGTTAACACCTACTCCATAACAAGTTCTTGAAACGTATTTATCCAGGTCCAACCCGTCCGCTATCAAAGTCAGCCAGTACATGATCCACACGGTTACAATCCCGCAAACTATTAACCCCTCTACCACTGGGCTCGATCTCTGTAGCTGCCAAACCAAGCTATCAATCCAGGCTCTAAATGCCACACAGGGACACAGCCTAGCTAGTAAACAAGCTATATATCGTTCCCAAATGATGGGGACTATCCGCTCCTAGGTCACACGGGGACACAGCCCAGCTATCAAACAAAGTAAACAGTAAACAGTACCAAGTTACTTTATAAACTGACGTTATTTAGATATCTTACATTACAAGTTAACATGAATTAACGTAATTACAATTTCTACGTCGTTATCTATATCACATGATTAAGACAATCATGTTACGTTTTTACCGCACAGCTAAACATATTCATATGTTTAGTAAGAAGTTTAGCTATCTCCACACATGCTTACAGAGTAGTTTAAGTTGAATATACGTATTTAAAGGATTAACAATGCATGTTTTAATCATATTAAGTAGCTCATGTTCAATATATCTAGGTATGCTCAGGTTAATAAATATGGGGATTGCTATGATATTTGCTACAGTCAGACTCCCTTAGAAAAATTAACTATAGGGTGCCATTGTCCTCCCTCACTGGAAAAATGCAATCTAAAGAATATTTGATGGTGACTGTTTTGCAAATCATTAAACTCCCATAATTTCATCGGTTTTTACTGTTTTCCAGCTGCAGTGCAAAATATGATTTCATTCAGTTCTCTGCAAACCTGAGCATCGTGCAAATATGTGCAAAAACTGAAACTATATTGTAAAAGATTCCAGTAATTAGCAAACTGCATATAAAGCTGTTTTATTTCAAACCCCATCTTCATAATTAAGAAAACCATCCAAAGGCTTCTACACGCGTTATATACTTTAAGCAGTTTTCATCTACCAGGTATCTACTAGTAAACATATCATAACAAGATGAATTTTAATAATCCTACAGTGATAACCTGGAAACTCTGGAATAGGAAGTCGACTTTTAGACTCAATTTCTGACCATAAATAGTCAAATTAACGTGGTAAACAGTAATTGTGAAGTGTAAATAGACCAATTGCACTTAACCAGTGTTTTAATAACTTAATATTCAAGTTATTTGCTTTGTAACAACATAAAATTAATCTCAGTTATGCTTTAATGTCGTCTTCCTATTCTACAGTTTTCTGGTTATCAGCGTACCAGCGTACTTTTAGAAGAGATCAGATAAGAATTAAACAAATTTTGCTCCAGTGATTTTTTCCAGCATACTTCTACTTTTGCGAATTATTTAGATTGTTTTAGAAAATGAAAAAAATCCTCCAGTGAAAAAAAGGGAAAAATGCGGCAGAAACACGTTGTCGATCTTCGAGCACAAGAAGAATGTCACCTTTTTCTATGGTCACATTCCTTTTTATAAACCCCCACAAAAACATTTGCTTTAACAAACTTTTTTGCGCAAACCCATTTGCTGAATTTTTGCTAATTGGGCTCAACAATGCAAAAATATTCTACTCTTTAGAAATATTTCTATTTGGACAATATTGTATGGAAATGGTTGAAACAGTTGAAAATATTCGCAAAAGTATACTTGCAAATTAATTCCTTAACATATTTGGTAATATACGGAAAATTATACGATGAGGGCGCGTCTGTTAAATGCAATTAAGCCGAATCAAAACAATTATTATTCATGACTTTTAGGAATTTAAAAACAAATCAGATATTTTACAGAGCAGAATAGTTTTCAGTAAACCTCAGGGAACAAAACTAATAAATAGTAAGACGTAGTTGAACTCCGAACACTGAATGGAACCACTTCTCTTGAACGTGAACCAGAGAAGAGGTTTTAATGTTGTGGACCTTAGATATTTATGAACTCAAAGTTAAAAACTTTAGAATGTGATATCCTTAATCCCAATCTGTTAATTAATCCGGAGATTAATGAGGAAAATAAGCAATATTTAATCTCAAAATTAAGAAAAAGAGTGGATCAAGCATTAATCCCGATATCCACCATTCTAAAGTTCCCAGCTCTATTAGATCAAATAATCTAAGTTTGAAATATCAAAGATCTACGACATTGGGTTGCAAAGATATAGGGATTAGAAAATTTGATTGTATGGAAAAGCTCAATTCCTTTGATCAAAGGAACAATTAAAAGGGAGCTTTTCTTATCCATCCGATTTTGAATTGTAATTGTTTAAAAGTTTAGAAGATGTTTCCTGTTCTTTTTTAAGAATACTTTTAAAGAATATTTAAAAAATATGTTGAAAGCGGTAAACAAGGTGTTTAATGTTTTAAGTTGCGAAATTAGTTTTGGCAAATTTGCATGATGTTGAAATCAACATGAATGCAGCAAAGTTTGGAAACAATCCTCTGAAAACTTGAAATAAAACTGAAAAGAATAGAACAGAGGGTTAATCAGGGGATCGAGGGAGCCAAAACTAACACACGAATTAAGGAATATATGAATAGGAGAGATGAGGGGGGGGGGCATGAATGGGACTTTCAGCCTATGACGGTGGGGTTGGATAAGGCTGGGAGGGTAGGGAGCATAAGGGATAAGCAATCTCTGGAAAGGCGTTTTCTGATTTAAAATTATCCTAGTTTGTTTAGAGTACAAGAACAAGCCTACAAGGTAAACCCCCCAAATTAATCTAAAATGTCATGGATATGGAAAGGAGGGAAGGATGAATGGGGGGGCAGATTGAATCGGAGGGAAGGGTTGATAATACTTCCTCACACCTTAGGCTTATTCATGATTATGCTCTAAGATCATCCTAGGTTAAAAGGTTGAAGATAATCAGGATTCTAAATATTGAATTTGATAAATTAAAAACAGTTTAATATATGTTTAATCCCAGTAATATCAGTGCTATTCTAAACCAATGTTCCCTGTAAAAGGACCGAAGGATTAAAAAGGTGCCAACTTTTTGCGACCTTTGATATTCAAATTTAGGGATCACCACAACCCCCTCCTCCTCCTTCTTCCTCCACCCCTTGTATAAACTTGATCACCACAACCCCCTCCTCCTCGAGTTCAAGTTCGCCCTTAAACTCTCATCCTTTGTGTATAAACATGATGAAATACTTGAACAATCCCTTTAAATAAACATGATGAAATACTTGAACAATTCCTTTACATAAACATGATGAAATACTTGAACAATCCCTTTAAATAAACATGATGAAATACTTGAACAATCCCTTTAAATAAACCAGAAAACTTCTGATTAAATAAAAACTTTTGTAAAACCTGTGCCGTGTATGATACGGGTTAACGGTGCAGTAGAAAATCAAGGACTTATTATCATCAAATTTACGTTATTTTATTTGTATTCAGCTAAGATTATTACTTTTTAACTGTATATTGATTAATAGTTACGTTTATTCTTACTTTTGCTAGTTTCGAGATTTTACACAGGCTTTAAATTATCGATATAAAAAATAAAAATTTAGACAGAAAGTTTAAAATATAGATTTACATTTTAATCAGTATTTAAAGCGGAATGAAAATTCTTTAAATTGTAAATGTACCAAACTAATTTGCTAATTTGTAACAGTATTGCCTTTGAAAATGTTAAAGGTAACACAGTTAAGATTTACAAAATCGTTCACAAAATTGAAAGACGATTTTAATTCCCCTTTTTAATTGGTTTAGGCCGTAGAAACATGATAGACTGAAAGTACATGTATTTAGCGTAAGCTGACTTGTATTCAATAAGATTTTTAGTTTGTTATTGTGTTGAAATATTAACTTTAAAACAGCATTAGACAGACTTCAGTTTGATTTATAATCGTTCTCCTATTCCATCTTATTTTGAGAACCACTGTATTTTGATATAAATCCACTTACCCTTGACTGATCGCTTTCATATCCTTGATCTGATCCCTCGCTACCACTAGGAGGCAGCAGTCCATCCGGAATATTAAATCTTACAGATTTATTCTGCCCAGGGAGTGGGGGCAAGGGCCTGCTCGCCCCCCTCCCCTCCTCATCTTTGCGCGGGGGGATGCGCGTGGATGCGCGGATTTTTTGTAATTGTTGTTTTACTGCCGCAAAATCTCCCAAGCATTGCCAACCACTGATTGTTGCACACTTCTTGTTAAACGTATTCGGCCACATAATGATATCTGGTCTCAGGTCTAGAGATCGGAGATAGTAGCTCACCGTATCCGTCCTGCTCCAGGTCTAGGGTTTCGGAGCTAGAAGCTCATTAGATCCGTTCTGCTCCAGGTTTAGGGTGGAGATAGAATCTCACTATATCTGTCCTGCTCCAGATTTAGGGCTGTTGAACTAGAAGCTGTTTCAGGTCTAGGGTTTGGGAGGTAAAAGTTGCCGGATCCGTCCTGCTTCAGGTTTAGGGTTTGAGTTAGAAGTTTACTCTATCCGTCCTGATCCATGTCTAAGTTTCCTGTGCCAGAGATTCCGGTTTTCTCCAGGTCTCTGGTGGAGAAAGAAGCCTACTGATTACGCCCTGCTCCAGCTCAGGAAATTTTGAGCTAAAATCGCCAGAGCCGTCCTATTTCAGGTTTAGAACTTTATGGGCTTACTATATCTGTCCTGCTCCAAGCTCACAATAGCCGTCCTGCTTCAGGTTTGAGGTTCCGGAGCTAGCTGGAAGCTCACAATATCCGTCCTGCTCCCTCATTCCACCCTGACCAAATCTTAAACTCAAAAAACGTGCAAAACTAAATGAATTAAAAGATATAAAAATGTAACTTGTATGCTTGAGAATATCAGGGAAAATATTTTATGTAAGTTCAATGAAGTCAAGTACCAAAGATAGATTAAAAACTTGAAAAAGATGCACGAAGAGTACTAACATAGATACATGTGATATATATGTCTTCATATCTTGATCTTTATGTTTAGGATGAGTTCTAAACTCTATTAATCTCTTTTTATACTGTGAACCGAACAAGTTTTAAGATAGAATAACTGTTCCCTTATTGTCCTGCTCATGCAATTTTTTGTCAATCTTAGTTTAAAATTTAATCAGGGATGACTTGTGAATTGAAAACCAATACAGAAGAGGCATCGACTCCCCTTGGAATATTTTCAAACCTTTTAACCCCCTCTCCTTCCATATCTTCCATCAAGCCCCCCCCCCCTCTCTTCCCTCCAACCACTCAGCGTTTCATCTTCACATAACAAAAACCATATTTATTCTTTTTGAGATGCTGCACTCCTATACAGTGATAACCAGAAAACCATGGATTAGGAAGAAGACGACATTATACCAATACTTAAGTGTATTTATGTTGTTACAAAGCAAATAGTTTTAATAGACACTTACTAAATTTAGTGAACGGGTCTGTTTTCACAGCACAATTGTCGTGTCTCAAACTCATTGGACTTTTCAAAGAAATAACTTGATTTAAAAAGTCGTTTTCCTGTTGCAGAGTTTTTGGTTATCACTGTACATTCTTTGAATTTTTGAAAATATATGTATACTGAACTCAGAACTGTGTGAACAAACAAAAGAATTCTCATTGACCTTCCCTTCCGTCAACTTATTTGATCAACATTTCCCATCAGACTCACAAATAAGAAATACGTATTTTCGTTAATAAGGAACTGTCGAGGTAATGTTCAATTTTAAAAAGGAAGGGCTTGTCCCATTGACAAAGATATCCTTGAAACTGTTGTCTGGCCGAAAATTGTAATGATCATACTGCTGCTGTAAAATTATGACTTTAAATTGAGATTTGGTTGTAAAGGAGTGCTTTCTTGTGCTTTTACTGTAAAATGTATGTTGTTCTTACAAATACTCGCTGCAACTAAGACGACATCTAAATATATTGCGGGATTACAGGATCCATTCAAGGGTAAATATATGAACGGGAAAAGTTATTATAAATTGAAATCATAATAAACCAACGCTAGCTACAATTCATACAATGTTTGTAAATGAAAAGATTTTCAGAATATATTCATTTTGTCCAATCTCAACATGAAACACAAGACATATGCATTTTAAGAGGAGTATTGTGACAAAAACAAAATACCCCACCGTGGGGGAGGTCCATATGTTACAGAAACTGAATTTTAAAAAATTATATAGGAACAATTTAAGTTTTAATTTTTATCTAAAATAGAATTTAAGGAAAAATCAGATATTTTCAGGAAATAAGAGAAGATATTCAGGAATAGGATTATATATACATCCCATAGAAAAGGATGTTTTTAAGGAAAGTTTTGATTTACAGAAAAGTATTTTTTGAATTAAAAAATATCTTAATATCTCGGATGGGTAGGCTTCAATAGGATAGATAAAAGAGATGCTTTAGAGATGTTTTAAAGACCGGGAAGAACAAATAATATAATAAAATATGAAAAGAGTTAGTTTAAGATTTGAAAATAAATCACTAAATAAATAAAAGATTGATAATGATCATCTAACTACACATTACATAACACATAACACCAAGTTTTTTTTTTTAAATTGTTCACTTAATACAAAGTTTAAATTACAAAAATGTACAAGAACACCGTAGAAAATCAGCTTTTCCCACAAAATCTAATTTTCTTAACCCTAATATTTTTTCAACCGGATGTCTTAAATATTTTAAACTATTAATTCTGTTAGATCCAATTATCTAAGTTTGAATTATCAAAGGTTTATACCATAAGGTTGCAAAGATATAGGGATTAGAAAATATGAGATTGTGGAAAAAACACAGTTTCGTTTATTTTGATTAAACTTTTTTTAATTTCTCATTGCTAAAATTTTCAATGAAACTAAAAAAAATATCTAAAAATATCAAGTTCAACCTATTCCTATTTAAAGTTGGCTAAAAATTTCAAAGAATTTAGCAAAATATATAATTCAAACATATGTCTTTTAATATATTTCCTAAAAGTTTGTAATAAAAATAATAATTCTCTGAACTGAGAGAAAGAAAGAAAACTTAAACGATTTTCATCTAGGTAGATTATATCTTAGAATATATTAAATATTTAGGAAAAAGAACCTTTTTAAATAAAGTTTTATATAAATAGTAGCTGGAGTCCACGGTGTTCCCCAGGTTTATATTATTATTCATAGTAATAGTTACTCCCACCGTTTACCCGCGCTAGGTATGATTTTAGCCAAAGAGCCCGGCGTTTAAAAAATTTAAAAAAAAATGTTGCCAAAGTCACCCTCCGGGTATCCATGGGTTCCCTAAAAACAATTCAGTCGACAAGGTCTAGCTTTTTGGCCAGCTATAACGAATATATTATAGAGGACGTGAGTCAGACTCTAATAAAAACGCATAAATAACTTCCAGTATATATATTTCTTATAACTTATTACTAGAGGGTTCAGAACTAGAGTCAATATCGATATCACACGTGTAGATGTTTATCAGTACTATGCCCCACATCCGTTCTATCTCATTCTGTTGAATCTTGTGGAACTTGTTTAACGCGGCCAGGCATCGTCTTCCACAATATGATATATATGTCCGAAGAGCTGTAATACATAAATAAAAAGGACAAAACCGAGGTTTTTTAAAGGGTTGAGGAGTTAGCCTTGACTTTCAAACACATTTCCCTGAAATTTAAATCTTCCCATTTTTTAGGACCTGTCTGTACGGATCCAGAATCTATATTAAAAATATTTGGATGAATAAAAGATATTAATATTGTATATATTTAGCTTGGTATTATATTAAAGTATCATTGAATAGTAAAACCAAATGTGTACAGTAGTAATTACTTTTTTATACAAATATAAAATATGTCTTAGGTGTCATATCAAGTTTATTCAGAGTAAAATTACAATCAGGGAGTATTAAACTAAGGAGAGGAAAAAAAGGGTATTTACAATTTTCTTGTGACAGGGTACTGATATGAAAGCAAAGGTCAGAAGTTTTTTTTCTATATTTAGCTAATCTACAACTAGTGGTTTTTTTTAATAAAACTTACAAATGCCAAATTTTGACCCTAAATATAGACAAAAACGACTAAAAAACGACCAAACTGAGGGCACATCACTATCTTCAACGCCTAGAAACAGTATACGCAGCAGAAACTTTTATTTGGAAGTGATTTAGCTAAATATACCAAACTGAATCCATTGGTTAATTCCTAGGTGATTAATAGCAATGCATTACATAATTTCTGACTTCAGGAGGTATTAGAAACTAGAGATGGAATTTAAAGAATTTGAGCCGCGGTTTAAATCCGCCAATCCCCGGTTTTAATTAAGCGCCGGCTTAAATCTTGAAACATTTGATACAATTTTAAGTGGAACAAACCATATTTAAACCGCGGCTTAAATTTAAACCGCCGCTCAAATTCTTTAAATTCGGCCATAGGTCTTGTAAAAATTATAATTTATAATTTAAACCATTTTAGGCTTTATTTTAATACCAAGATCGACAACCTTAACACAGACCTCGGTTTCTCATACGGGGTTTTCTACAAAATTCCGGCTATTTTTAAGTTAAAAAATGGATATTTGATTGTGGTTATTACATATTAAACATAATATTTTTTAAGTATATGTTGTTGATAAAAGTTTATTCATCAACATCTTTTAATATCCCCCCCCCCCTCCAAAAAACACACGATTACTCCCTCCCCCCACCATCAAATCTCATTTCTCACGCCCAGTCTATTTAAGCGGGGCCACCCTGTCCTAATAACCCCTTACCTTTGTTCTTTCCTCAACCCCTCTCCATGAACTCTTCTTTAGTAAAACCATCCCTTTCTTATAAGTAAACCATCTCTAACTCATGAAACTATCCCTTTCTTATAAGTAAACCATCTCTATCTCATGAAACTATCCCTTCCTCGTGAAAAAAACCATCTTTATCTCATGAAACTATCCCTTCACCATGAGGAAACCATCTGTATCTCATAAAACTATCTCTTCCTCATGAGAAAACTCTCTCTATCTTATGAAACTATCCCATCCTCATGAGGAAACCATCTCTATCTCCTGAAACTAACTCTTCCTCATAAAGAAAACTTCTCTATCTCATGAAACCACCTTTTCCTCATGAGGAAAACATGTCTATCTCATTAAACTATCCCTTCCTCATGAGGTAACCCTCTTTATCTCATGACGAAACCATCCTTTCCACATGAGAAACCCGTCCCTTACTTATGAGCAAACCTATCTTTGTCTTGAGGAAACCAACTCACCCTTATGAGGGCACCATATCTTTACTCATGAGGAAACCGTCCATTTCCTCAACTTTGTAAGAAATCTTATCAATGACATAATGAATTACCCAACATTAGACTTAATTGCATTATGTTCTGTACTTATTTTTAAGATAGATCCCCCCCCCCCCACTCCTATGGGCTCTCCCTCCCTCATTCCGCCCTGGAGAAAAAAGGAAGTACTAGGCTCCACTTGGTATTCCAGGTTTAGGCGTATAATGATTAAAGTCCTACAGGGAGAAATATATGTTATTGATTTAGATAAATAATATATATATAAATTAAAATATATATGTAGTACACAGTAGGAATATCTGCTTTTGATATCCTTCCAGTTAACAACTTTTTATCTATAGCAACTATCCAGCTAGATTCAAACCACCTAGTTAGTAACTATCCATATATAGAACTATATAGCTAGCTTTAAACCATCGAGTTAGCAACTATCCATCTAAAGAAACTATTTAGCTAGTAACCATCCAATTAGAAACCATCC